CAATATTTAATATCCAAAAGGAGATTAGGGAAATTGTTTGAGTAACGTGGAGGTAATACGAAAATGAAGACTTACAAAAGAAAAGTTGCAGGTAATCGAATATTCATAAGGCATCAATCAAATGTCGATATTTGTTCCAACAAAATGCTGAAGGAGAAAAAAATAACAGAAAGTTTGCTAAACCAATGTAAGGAGTTTTCCTCTCAAGACGAACATTTTGCTTTTAAGCATTGAGTACATACATAATGTATATAAATGTGAATGTTTTTTAAAGTATTATTTAAATTATTCTTTCTATGTTTCATTTCAACATACATGACCTAGTTTTTCATTCCGAGATATTTTTAAATATAATCATCATAATTTTCTTAAGTCAAAACAAAAGAATGTTTATGAAAAATACTCTATTTTAGTTATTTTCCGTCTCCTGGGACGTCTTTTTTATCACAATACATTTTTCATTTTCCTCTTTCTCGGTTTTATAATGTGAATATGTGAACTGTATTGTTATATATAAAAAAAACTATGCCCATTGTTTGAATATTTACCCTATTTTATACAACTTGTCACTTAATAAAATGAGAGATTTCCATTTTCCAGTTATCAAAAGGGAAAGACGAATATGAATTTATCGAAAAGCGTAAAATATAACATAGAAAAACTTTTATACTCCCGAGATCGATGCGTTATACGGAAAATAAGGCAGTTTGAACGTAGACTAATACGAACAAAATATTTTGGCTGTGATTGGCCATAAGCAGCTATGGGCCGCCAGGGAAATTAAAACATACGATATTGACAGCGGCCTCTGCAAACACAGAACCGGACGAAATTCACAAAATAACTTCTATTTTATAAATAGAGCTAAAAAATGGCTCGATGCAGTTTTTTGATCAATAACAAAATAATGTTGTTTCTTCTTTATAAAATTCTAATATAATTCGTGTCATGTTATGTATGTATGTTCGATAGAGTTGAATAGAAAACAGACCATCACTGATATATATATATATATATATATATATATATATATATATATATATATATATATCGAATTCTATCTAATAAATAACAAAATTTATATAAAGAACGAAAAATATATATAATTCAGCGAACCAATATTTATAACGTTTAAGAAAATATTCAGTGATTTCATGAAAACTTATGAGATAAAATATTCAACGTTAAAATATGTATATCTTGAGATTTATCGAGTGTTTGGACAAAGAGGAAGTATTACAGAAATTGAGAGATTGTTACATCCGTGATCTTTTGAAGAGAAAATTGTTTGTATTACTGATATACATTTTTTATTTGTATTGAAATATTCACAAACAATCAAGCAGCTATAATTTTATCGCTACTTTTATTCTAATTAGAACTTACTTAACACAAGCCAAACTTATACACATACCATTAAAAAACATGACCAAATGAAAGATATTCACATCTCGTCTTAATGATCACGGTTGCTGAAAAGTAGCCGAAACATCAGGAGTATATATGTATGTAGTTGTTTACAAAAATAAATCACGCTTTGTATATCCGAAAAATATTAGTTTCATTTAAATGAATAAAACTTGCAAGTCTTAGATCTCATTGTACACATTCCGTTAGTATTTCGATTACTAGATTGTAAATACGTAACCAATTTCAAAATCTGTTTAGATCTTGAAAGATTTTAATCAAAAACTCAAAGAAATATAAGTATCTATATCAAGACATATTATAATAGGTAATAATGTTATTTGCGTTGATTGCTAAACATCTGTCTCATTAATATTCATGTTTCCCATCACGCACATATTACTGTAACGTTAGATGTAATGACATCATTGAAGACAAATATTCATCAGTTCAAATTATCATTATACTAGTCTTTGCCCGCGACTTCGTCCAAGTTAATTTCGGAATCTCTACTAATATAATAAATGCGAAAGTAACTCTGTCTGTCTGTTACGCTTTCACTCCTAAACCACTGAACTGATTTTAATGAAATCTGGTACAGAGATGGAGTTGACCTTGTGAAAGAACATAGGATAGTTTTTAACCCAGACTTTTGAAAGGTTTTCTTGGAAACGCGATATAACCGAACTCCACGCGGGCGAAGCTGTATATAAATGTATAGCTGACCGCTGTTCCGCTCTAGAGTGCATAAATAACCAGATATTGGATTTTAGTAAGTATTTTTCTCGATCGAACAGACTTAAATATCCTATGTCCGTATCCTGGTTTTAAGTTATCATGCTCCTTAATTTTCAACCATATCTGTACAGCAGTTCTTGAGTTATAAATAGTGTAACTAACACAACTTTCTTTTGTGTGTGTGTGTATATACATATATATACAATCTAGATTAGTGTATAGCAACTTGTTTCTTTTTGGTTAAAATTAACAATTATTTAAAATTACATCATTTCTATTATTTCAAAAAGCATTAAATTTTCGTTACAAACTTCAACTTACTGTTCTCAATACAAAAGATATTTTATATTATTTCTCAGTATCTATATTATGATATTAATTATCCGTACAAAGGCTTATTGTCAATATAATCATCCATCACTGGTTATTATATTACATAAACATGATACAATAATATAATTCGATCAATGTATATAATAGTTATTATAATAACGCTTTAAAGCGGAATACATCTCGAAGCTTCGACAGATTTGATGTCAGTCCAGCGGAAAATTCCTGTTAATACAAGTTAAAGCCGACGGGGCGTATAATCGATACATATCGCTTTATTCCACATAAATCCACAAATAACATCGATAAAACATCATTCGAATATGTATAACAAAATAAGAAATGAATTTGATACAAAAAATATGGTATATATGTAAAATAAACCATCTAAATATGAACTATTCTTGTAACCGGTTAAACGACTTCGTGGTTCAATAGTAATTTGCTCTCTAACCTTTAATACCGTTGGATACAATGCACTCAGTACTTAAGATTATTAACAAAACTTTCGGAATACTTCAGAAAATACACCGAATATATGTTTAGTCAGAAGTATATTAATGTCATTATATATTTCCAGAAATACTGTTTTATGTAAATGAAGATACAATCGTCATTATTAGAACAACTAAATATTTTTAAAAACATCAATTATATTTAAATTAGTGACGAAACAGGACAATGTACATAGTTCTTGCTCCATTGCTATATCAAGGAAAGAGTATTTTTTAAATATTTTTTCCTCACAATCAGGAACATGGCAGATTCATTAAATTAGATGAATTTAACCAAGTCTATGTAGTAGATAGATCTTGTTTATAGAGCCAGCACTTAAATCAGATGGGGGTCAAGTGTGGCCTTCGAAGTAAAGAGCTCTCTGAAGCGGCTTCGCTTTGAACATAATAGACAAACCAATTTATTAATTCAAAGAGTTATTGAATATTACTTCTAATTAGATTAAATTATTTGTAAGTGATCTATTTTGAAATATAATTTGATTTGTTCATTACAAGCAATTATTTTAATGATGCTTGAAATCGAATTCTCAATATGTTTATACATTTATAAATGCAATTATTAATTGATAAATTTTAATAGCAACATGCTGAAAAAAACATTTATATATTTTTCTTTTAATTTCTGATGAGTTTTTCCGTTCTGAGATGGAAAAAAAAATGCGTAATCATGAAACACAATAGAAGTACTGAGGAACTGTTCAAAACGTAAACAAAAGGTATTATGTAAAGGACTTTTAAAAAGCTCCGAGTACGGCTTTTCACCGTCGCGAGAAAGGGCTCGTGAGTTGCAATTAGCAACAAAAATTATTATGCAACGCTTACTTTAATTTCAATGGCTGCTTATTTAAATTCATTTGTTATTTTAATAACTATTTTGTATACATTCGACACTCTGGGACAAATTGACAGAGCGAATCGTTTATGGCAGTGTCAATTAGTTTCCAAGGTCCCTTCAGGATAAAATACTGTTGGATAAACGTTTTAACAATGAACATCCTTTATAATAAAACATATCCAAGTAATATTTCATTGTGTTTTTCAATAAACGTTCAACGCAATCTATACTCAATCACACACCTTCCTAAGAAATGATACTATTAAATTCGCCATTCCTTTACTAGAAAACCTCTGTTTCAAACATTTTATATCTAATTAAAATATACGGCAACATGATGTTATCGGTCATTCACCTTATCACGGCGATGCATACGTGATAAGAGCTAGCCAAAATACCACCACGATAGCATATCAGACAAAACCAATTTGATATTCAATGCAGCTCTTATATAAACTCTCATATGGCCTCTTATTTTCATCGTTATTGATTGTCAGTCTTATCAATACTCATCAAGATGTACGATTGTATTATAAGAATAATCATATTCAGCTTAAAAATATAAGCATCTAATTTTCCTTACATTTTAAGAGAACAAATCATGCTATTAAGAAATAAAAACAACAAAAATCCTTCAGCTTCATCTATGGATAAATTCTATACAAAAATTTATGACCATTTCTAGTTTGTCTTGACTTAATTAAAACAATCTATTTACTACGCCTACCATATTCTCTTTAAATTTTCAACCATATTATTTCAATGAGTGTGGTCTTAGTTCAAAAACATTATATATAAAATAATGTAACATTTCCAATGATGAATATAAAATATCTAATATGTTTGATGTACATGGACGTTGGGTATGTGGTCGCATCACAAGCCCGGCCGCATCCTGACTGTAATACGTGCCTTGAATCAATTGGGATGTATGATATATTCGGGACCATAATACATTTTGTATCGATATTCAATTCACTTACTTATTAAGTCATTCTAACAAACTCAGCTTTATATTATATATAATACATAAATTTATATGAAAATGTTATGTGTATTAAAAGTATTTTTTATTGAAATCTCTTTCATATATAGTTAGCGTTGTTTATACTCGTAAATGTAGGAGTAAATCTAAATTGTTTATTTTATATCAAGTTTCATAGTAATTATAGGAGCGGAACTCGACAAACTCGGTCCCAAGTCTCTTGATACTTCGATTTGCGAGGGATGTTTGGCTTCAACAAATATTAGTTTTGTCCGTCTACGTTTCGCCTTTGCTCACGTTCGTGCGATGTAACTTGGCTTCAACTAATGGACAGTTTGAACCGGCAATTTACATGTTATTATCACGATCGATATCAAATTACTCACGGATGAATACTCGTTTCTGATAGAAGAAATATACCTCGTTATAAATTCACAGATATATATCCACATAACAAAGGTTTTGTCGTCTTACGAATGACAAACTAAAAGCTACATATAAATCGTTTATTTAAATAGTTTTATAATACTTTAAATTTATTTCAAATGGAATCTCTTAAATATCGTAATAAGGTCCCGTAGAAGATGTTTTTGAGATGGTATTAATTAGCCTAGAAATCCTGAAAAGTTTTATCCTACTATACTTATCATCAGTTTTCTAGTTATATACATACATACCTATTTAACTTATAGATTTTTTTGTATTCTAGAATATATTTATGCAAATGCTACCTACTGATTCTCATGGTCAGTCCACTTAATTAAAACAGACGTATTAAATTACAGAGACACAATCTATCATGGATTTATATTACATGAGTTTGTTACAAAAAATAGTATGTCAGTTTTAACTTAAAAAAGAATCCAATTAAAAGATTGCTGAGACAAAATACAGATTAGAGGAAAGTAGAAAAAAAAAACTCATTACACTAAATGAAATAACAAAAGGTCCAAATAATTTTCCCTTAGCTGTTGGAAGCTCTCTAAATGCTCCGGTATACACTAAAATTGTTTAATTGTACAAGGAGAGACAATAAATTCCAGAAGCCTTTTATTTTCATCAACAGGACAAAGACTTGACTCTCTTTCTGAGCACGCAGACGTAGGATAACGAATATTTCATGATATATGATGGTAGAGTATAATGGAATATGAAATTCCATGGAGTAGAAAACGCTTTAAAAAACGTATCATAACTAACAAGACGTTTAATTAATTCCAGGAAGCTGAGTTCATAAGATATATAAAAATATTTGAGATACTATAATATTCTAAAGAAAGTTTTTATGATGCTCATCTAATTCCATAAATTAATATTTCACTTCTAGCATACTTATACAATATTTTTGCAATAAACAACGATGAAATAGTAATTTTAGACTGTTAATTTTGTTTAATGTCAGCGTAAATTACACGAAAACAAGTAAATATTTTGTCAACAAATACAAATTAATTAATCAATGGAACAGTTAAATTAACGAGGGCATGCAAAAATGTTTTGTACAAATTCAATTACAGAAGCGCCAAAACTTTACCGTAAACTGTATCCAATCGTAAAGCATGTTCAGTTGAAAAGGTTTTCTCTTCTCAAGATACAAATCTTGGGAGTCGTAAACTGTAAATTTATGCCCAATTAAACATAAACTCTTAACATTAAAAAGGTTGAGCAACAAAATAGAAATAGTACTTCAGGTAATAAATCATTGTTACGAAATATTTTATTAAAATATTAGTAACTTTAGTCTGTTGATTCATTATCAAGTCTAAGAAGTGAAGCAAATTTGTTAGATCGCTACAATAACAAACATGACTCAGGCCTCTGATGTATTCATCTTACACGTCATAAGATTTGAATAGAACAATAAGATTGCTATTGCGAGTAAACTGTACGTCTCCATATTGTCATATATTCTATATAAGCCCGAGAGAACAGCAACTAAATTACATTGAAATCATACAAAGGTTCCAAGAACATAAATCACAGTGGCAAGGTGTCCCTCAAGGTACGTTTTTAGGTCACGATATGTTAAAGCGTTTCTGAAATCAGATATTGTACCCCGAGTTGAAATCCTTTACATTTATTTGCCTTATCAAAGCCTTCCATTGGTAACTTGCCAAGTTATCTGAGTTTGAAAAGTCGAAGGCGTATCAGATCTTATAAAAGTAGCATCTGGCATCATTACCGAATGCGCCTAAAAAAATTGCGATGTGGGAATTTCGTTCCACCTTTACTCTATATGTAAATAAATTACGTACAGTTCGATATTATGATGGGGTTTCATTGAATTGAAACCATTTTATTTTTCCTGAGAAAATAAAGGTCTTTTTCATTATCATTTTCACAATTCTCATGAGTTTTTTAAACAATACTTGCTCTTGTATACTTCTATTTTAGACGTTTCCTAGAATACAACCATTATTTTATATTATATAATATAAACAAAGCTTCACAGGTTTATGTTTCGGTTTTCTCAGTAAATAATTTAGTTCAATCATCCTCATTAATAATAATTTATAGTTTCAACGTCTGACACGTTAATGTATTTGTGTTGTCATCAACAATTGTACAATGTTACCCAATCACTGTATAATTGATTGATGAACACAAAATTCATATTTATTCAAACAGCTGAATACTTTACTTATATTTTATATTTTTCTATAGAATTTTAGTCCCAAAAAATTATAAGCCAGTTATAGCATCGTTTCCCAACGCCCCGTGATTCATTTTCATGACCAATCGAGCGAATAATTGCCTGGACAATTTTCTAATTAAATCCCATTGAAGATTCATAACACGCTTTGTATTGAGTCCGTAGTAATTAACGATATGAATTACAAAAACATGTATAATAAGTGATTATAAAGTGAATAAACCATTTATTGCAATTATGAAGGGTCTTGGTCTACATTGATTCTGTTACTCGATTAAGCTAGTGTCGGGTTTGCTTAGTGAGTTCCGTTATAGTTAATTTAAATAAACAAATGCTAATATAACTGGAAACTTAAACCGATTATTATAAAGCCGTTTGAACCGCAAGTGAAGTGTGAGCGAGGCTTAAGCTATTGCGCGCTTGACGGTAAGCGGACCTAATCCTAGTAATTCTGTAAGCGATATTGAAACTTTCAGCTTTTAGGATTAACGTCATTTAAATGTTTCAGTGTTATTTGGTGGCGACGGGAACATGCGATCAATCACTGCAAAGTGCTGCAAGGAGTTAGTTTTCAATCGATATGCCTTAAGAAGTTTTACAGGTATCAATAAAAATATAATGTATAGCATAGAATATTTTATCCGAGATTGATGACTCATTTGAATATTTATTTAAATAGCAGTTTTAATAAAATGAAAATGCATTTACGTCGCTGATTTTTATTACTCCAAGCAAATGCACTTGAAGAATATCTAAAAAGCTGACAAACTTTACACTCTAGCTTTTGCATTTTCATTAAAAATGAAGCTAACTGAGGTGAGTTGATCAAGAATTCTCTAGCATCATAATGTTACTCACATAATATTCATAAAAACTCACTTCTATAAAAGTCTATACGAATAACATTAATGAAAATATTTTCATATATTATTACTCAACAGAAATCTAATTAAATAAATATTCATAATTTTAATACAAAATATATTAAATATCCACAAAACCTGTCCAATTATAACATGGAAGGAAACATCATTAAGATAAGTATGCCATATCTCTTAGTAAAAAAAATTTTAAACAAAAAAATATCGCAAGTAAAGAATTCATTCATCATATATCGACACGACCTGAATCTAAAAGATCTGAGGCTGATCATTTAAGTAAGAACAAAAACAAAGACTTTACAGACGTGTTGTAATTAATCAAGTGATATTGTCAGCTTGTCGGCGTCCGAGAGTTAAGGTTTTGACAAATTATATTGTCTAGTTATTGGGCAGATAAGTTGAAAATGTTTTCTGTTCTCACAGTAAAATGTATGTTAAAAAAGGCTTCACTGTTAAATTGCACATACGAAACCTCTATAGGTTTAAATTCTTGCTGAACAACCACATAAAAAAATGACTGTCTGTAGTCAAAGTATTTTAATTAAAAAGTTCAATTTAATATTGATTTGGTCTCCGCAAAAGAGTTTGCAAAACATATATGCGAGGTCGTTGTACAGGACAGAAATAGACGGAAGAATCCTAAGCAGGTGTTTAAGAGCACCTGGAATCTTTATAGTTTCTGATCCATATTATAAAAGACATTTCACCTTTCCTTATAAAACAAAGAACACGATGATTGAAACTTATATAGTACCTGAAACAAAAAAATAATAATAATTAAATAAACGTTTATTCCATATATTTGTTGAATAAAATGTTAATGAGCATTTTTTTTAAGGAAGTTATTCAGTTTGTTCCCAGAAAAAGTTGAACTCAGAACCAATTAAACGTAAAGACGATAAAGGTAGGGCGTTACTAACTGGGCTAGCGAGTCGTGTACCTTCGCAGACTCATTTATAAGCAGGAATGTTGTATGGGTAAGTATTGAATATATATAATATATAAAATAGCAATCTTTATATAATACTGTATACAGGAAAATTATCAATGTGATGTATTCAACTTTCCTATAAAGTATTACTGACAATAAAATTTAATAAAACCTTTCTTAAAATTAAAGAATCATATAATAAACTTCAACTTTCGCCACAAGTAAGGAATGAACGCTGAGATCAAGTCATCAAGATAGCCTTGACTTACTGTCCCATTAACCAGTTTCGTAATATAATTATTGTTTTCTTCACTTAATTTTATACATCATACAATTCCAATAATTTTATTTACTTAACATCCTCTATACACACGTTTCTAGTAAATGGTAATCAGGTAAGATAAGGCTTAATTAATACGACTAATCACTACTCATATAGTTGATTAATTTTAATAGTGTTGTGATTGAAATGTAAAAATATTTAAGGAAATATGTATTGTATTAGAAATAAATAGTGTCTGATTCATTGTGTTATGAAACGGAAAAATCAAAATATTATTTTCTTAGAAATTTAGAATTACAAAGTCTAAACAAATAGAATATTTATATTTTCAGTTCTTGAAATATCCAAATTTATATAGGAATTTTATGTAATCATTTAATTAGTATAGTTACATCATAAACTATTTATTATGTTTCAAAGATTAAATTTCATCAAACATTTGAAATATATAAAATCAGCTGTAATTATTTATTTAAGAGACGAATTTTTGGTACTGTCATCTCAAATGCCATAGAAATATAACTGAATCTGAAAATTAATTCCTTTTGAATGTCTCATTCCAAA